ATACACACACACACACACACACACACACACACACACACACACTAAAAAGACATACATGACATTGCCATTATAACAATATCCTACCATATCTTCTATTTATTAACCAGATGCTCTTTCGCGCTGAGGAAGCCCTTCTGTCCTTCTATCCCGGCCGATTGGATCTTAGCCAATCTCCCACTGTTAGAAGACTTCGTCCTCATCTTCATCCTGGTATTTCTGACCTTGGAGGTTGTCCTCAAGCGCAGACGACAGAAACGTCAACAGGGCTTGATACAGGTGCATCACGTGACCTGATATTGATGATGGCAGCATTGTTGATGTCGTTGTTTGCTGTAACTGTTGATGCCGTTCTTGACATCGTATATTTCTGTTAACATTGATTTTATTGTATTTGCAGTTTTGTGTTAATCCGCTTTGTTGTTGTTACTGTTGTTGTTGTTGTTGTTATTGTTTTTGTTGTTACTGTTGTAGTTGTTGTTGTTGTTTATGTTGTTTCAAGTGATGCTTTTATTGTTGTTACTGTTGCTGTTACTCTCGACAGATCTGATGTTATTAATGTCATTTTTTAAATTGCCATTGTTGACCAACGTGTTGTTGTTTTGTGTTGTTGTAATTGTTGTGGTTGTTATGGTTGTTGTTGTTGTTGTTGTTGTTGCTAATGTTGTTGTGGTTGTTATTGTTGTTGTGATTGTTGTGATTGTCATGGATGTTGTGGTTGCATTTTTTGCTGTTGTTGCTGTTCTTATTTTTGTTGTTATTGTTGTTTTTTTATGTCATTGATCTTGTTGTTGCTGTCGATGTGGTCGCAAAAAAAATCCCATCTACATTCCATGTATTTATGTTTTGTTTTGTCTTTCTGTCCCTCTATCCACGGCTGTGTGTTGACTTGCTAGAGGGCTCTCAGCTCCTCGACCTCATCCTACGTGGACTGTCTCGAACAGGGAAGCTTCACGAAGACTCGAAGACGATCCGGAAAACAGAGAGACGGAAATAACTGTAAGGATGTACACCATTCTAGACCTCTACTGCATATTAAACAGTGGTTTTGTTTGTTTACGTGTGTGTAACTGTGGGTGTGTATATTTGTGTGTGGGTGTGTGTGTGTGCGTGTGTATATGTGTGTCTGTGTATAAAATATTATGTGAACTTGTGCACTTGTTTGTATGTGTATAATAATATCACATGTGTTAGCCCATATTGTGTGTCTGTGTCGTGTGCGTGCATGAATGTATATGTGTGTGTATGTGTGTGTGTGTGAGTGTGTGTGTGTGTGTGTGAGTGTGTGTGCGTGTGCGTGTGTGTGTGTGTGTGTGTGTGTGTGTG